TGTTCTTCAAAAAGAAGTTTAAAGTGAAACTTTGATATTATAAGATGTAACAGGGTCATGAATTCTGGGAATTTGAAAAATGTGTCCCCACTGCTAGGAGAAATTGGAAAAACAGGACATGCTTTGGTGAATGTACTATAAAAAATCTCTCCTTTTTTTTCTTTGAGTGGCATTACTCATGACTAACGTGTGGCTAAGGTAGCACAGTCTGGAAAGCTTAACCCAGCTGACTGTTTGTAATGACCTGAGTTATATCACATCTCTGCTCAAAACTCTCTGATGGCTTCTGAACTCATGAACATGTACCGTCTTCCAGAGGTCTGCCAGGCCTTGTATGATCCTGTCCTGTCCTGCCACTTCTCTGCTTTCTTGGCTTAATCATTTTCACATGTGTCTTACAGAATTAGCATCTTTGCACTGGTTTCTTTCCCTTGGAAATCTCTCCTTTTCATCGTGTGCTCCCAGATGGCACTGGTTCTGTGTTAATCTGTCCTTGGTGGCCATAATTAAGGAAGCAAAATCCCTTCGCCTCAACCGTTCTATTTCTGTACAGCAATTGTTTTATTATTATTGTACACCTCTGCTGAGAAAATTTTTGTGCATTTATTTACTCCTTATTATATCTTTTTTATATATTTTACTATAATTTTTCTCTTAATATTATCAACTCACGGTCATTTTTAAAATTCAATGTGATAAAATTTATTTTGTAGTGATTACTACACTAGGACTATGAACTTGTGAGCTACATGATTTTGCCTATTACAACCTGAGGAGTAGTTTATTTAAAAGATTAGGCATTCTTAAAACCTAAATTTGATTTGCAAAAGTAAAATAAAAAATTATAAATGAAACAGCGTATTGATACAATTTGTCACTTCACTGGATGTCAGTCTTCTCCATGCAATGCCAACCCATTGAATTTCAAAGATAAATAACGATTTTTTATTTTCGACCACTCATCAAGGGTTTCCAAGCCAGGATCTTTCACTTGGGCAGTGATGTTGGGGAAGGACCTGTAAGTGAACTTTGAGAAAGCTTTTGCTTTCTGGACAAATATAAAATTGTAGTTATTTTTACACACAAAAAAGCAAAGCTATTTCTATCATAAAATACTGTGAACTACATTTTTTGTTACAGAAAAAACATAATAAATACCATTGTCTCTTTTAAAAGAAGTGAGGAGACTACACAGTGACATGCCAAAACATTTGGAAACATAATGAAAAAATGAAATATCTGGGTTCATGGCATTTTAAAATTAAAATATAAAGAAAGAATCTCTAAAGAAAAGTATGATGCATACCACATTAAAATTTTAATTATTTATTACTTTATGAAGAGAATAATAACTGTGAATTCACTGGCAATCTACAGGCTAGATAATATTTTTGTAAAAAAGTGTTCATATTCCCATTCCTAAGTACAAATTCAGTTAATAAGTTATGATCCTGGACCCTCCTGTGTCAGCTTGGTTGAGATTTTAAAGAGCCCCGCAATCAGAGAATCCCATACATAAGTGTTTCTCAGTACTTCAGGGGATGTAACTTTGAGGACCTTATACAATCTCTGACCCCTTTCCTTTCTTGTACTGCTCCCCTGCTCTGTTTTCTGGTCTCCATGTACTAAGAATCTTGCTTCTGCCATGCTAGTCCATTTTGATACTTCACTCTAAGACCCAGATGACTGTAGACTGAATCCCTTTAAATCATTACTGAAAAAAAAATCTATCTTCCATAAATTGCGCTTGTTGGAGATCGTGTCCCAGTGAAAGAAAAGCTAATATACCAGTCATGAAAAAAGATAGTTACACATAGCCAAAAAGAAATAATCCATAGGAAAGATCAGAGATTTAGCTTAGTGACCTAAGCATCGGCCTGGCAAGCACAAGGTTATAAATTCAATCCCAGTACAAAAAAGAAAGAAAGAAAGAAAGAAAGAAAGAAAGAAAGAAAGAAAGAAAGAAAGAAAGAAAGAAAAAAAGAAAGAAAGAAATCCATAGGACAAAATAAAAATAATTACTAAATAAGAGAATACATTAGAAATAAAAATAAGTATATGCAATTAAGATTAGATAATAAAATTAAGAATAAATATATAACAGTAATTACACTTAGGAGAAATGAGTACTGTGTTTTTAATTGTACTAATATTCAGTCTTGCAAGATTTTGCAAGGCAAATTATTATTATGAGCAATACTATTTGTTTTTGATATAGTTATTCTGTTTCTAAGAAACTATTATTGCTTTTATCTAGATAGCCCGTCCAAACCTGATGCTCACTTATGTAAGGCTTCTTGGAACTGGCTTGGTCTAGGATGATGAAGGTGAAACTTTTAGAGCCTGAGTGCCCAACTACGAACCCAAAACTCACTTTTTTGAAACCTAAGTACTGGCACTGCAATTAAACTTTAATTTGTCTTAGTTTACAAAAAACAGCTGTGGGTTAAGGGAGTCATATGGATTAAAGATGTAGATAATGAAAGCCTCACCCTGGTCTGAGTGACGCCAATCAATAGGGTGGTAACCTGGGTGGCAGGCTCACTGGCACTACTGCTGCTACTTTGCTGCCTTTTCCTGCCATGCCACGATTAATAATAGTCATCAAATAATGCTACAAAAGTAAACATTGATTCCCTTATGTATCAAGTTGTAAATTTTGAGCATTATGTATACCTGTGTATGCGTAAGTGTTTAAATAATACTAACACTATGTATGGAAGAGCTTGATCTCTGAACTTGGATGAATCTCTTGTGCAGTGTTAGTCTCGCCCCCTGCTATGTGCATCAGCATTAACTTTAGGCAAGTAATTTAACCTCTTTTTACCAATTATAAAATGATCATGATAATAATAGTAATTAGTTCACATCGTTTGGGTAGTGAGAAGTTAAGTACTGTAATGAATGCAAAATATTTCACACAGTGTCAGGAACTGAGGAATCACTCAATAAATGCCAGGAGTTGGATTTATTGAGCTTCCATCACATTGTAATTCTCATGAAATCTGTAAATGAAGTGCTAGTGTTTCTAATTTACAGATTAGTAAAGAAACAATGAGAACAATAAATTAATTATCCCGATGTCACAAAGCCTTTCAAATTCCCAGAGGCTATAATTGTTTTTAAAAAGGGCAGGGGAAAGTAAGAACATGGTTTCTCATTTCGAAGGGGAGCTAGAGAAAACAGACTTTTAGAAAAACAATACTATCAGTATGTTTATGAAAAAATGCCAGATAAAAGTGACAGAATTAGCTTTTAAAAACTGTATGCCACTTATATAGCATACTCAGCCATTGTCACACAAATTCACAAAAGTCATTGGACCTTTGTACATATTTTTGGCTCTCCTGGATGTCTAGTATGCACCATCAACTGAGTAGGTATTAGTGGGCCAGATGCCCCGACCACACCTAATACAAGTACAGTGGTGTGGGTCTACAACTTTCCAAGGCTTCTTCCTGATGAGTGCTGTGTCATTAAGAAAGGACACTCCACTTTTAAATATATGAGCAAAGACGAAAGAACACTGTCAGAAGCATATGCCATGCAGGATTTTTTTTTTTTTTTAAAGTGGATACATGTTGAAGAAGTTTAAAAGTATTAAAAGGAGAAACTGAAATACACAGTAAATCAATTCAGAAAAGAGAGTATTCATGAGAAATACAGTCCCATCTGTAGTTGGGGTAGTGAAATATTCCTTGTATCAACATATGATTTGAAACGAAACATTTTAGCTGTTACTCTCATTAGAAATAGTTCAATTGTGGAATAGTAGGATTTTGTACATGTAAGCAGCTGTTTCACACGTTATGTGTAAGATTTTGGAAAAGTGCATGAGGTGGGCAGTACCCCTTTCTAATGGCCCACCTCCTAGTCAAAGCAGAGCTGGCCTGGGTTCCTTAAATCTGCTAAGCAGCACACTAACAGCATGGTGTAAATCTTACCACTGAGTTCACACTTTTCTGACTGTATTATATTCCTATTACTAAAATTGGGAGTGTGATAAACACAAGCATTGTATGTAACATGGAAACAATGCAAAACACTGTGGAAAGGGAGAAAGTGTAAAAAGTTAATATTGATAATCAGCATCCACAAGAGCAGGAAGACAAAAGCACAGCATCGATTGCTAGAAACAAAGATGGAATCACAGAGTCAAAACTCAAACATAGCCATGTGTGTAACCAGTCTCAGGCCGTTACATATTATCTGTCCTGAATATTTTAAATTTTAAAATGGAAACATATTCAAGTATGTTTACTTGACTTAAAGAAAACGTTGAAAGATAGTGTAAATCTAGGACTGAGATATGTAAGGGCGGAAGTTTTCAAAGTTTTTACTTGCTATATTTGATCTACAATTAAGATCATTTTCTTACAATACAGAAAATGTGCTTCATGTTTTTACATAACATTTTTATCAACAAGAAATTGTGAATAGCCATTTTAATAATAAATATTTCTATTTTTATATTTCATCAACTATCTAAAAAGTAATTTCATTTGTTAGAACACAAATATGAATGTTCCAGTGAAAAGGGTATTCTATTCAGATATTTTCAGACATCATCAACAAGTAATATATTGCACTATCACATAGATATTGAAATTAAAGTGTGTTGTATTTTGTTGTACATTAATACCCTCAAAACCTATAGTGCAAAATACACTTTCGTTTTTATGAAAATTTCATCTATACAGTAATGAATTTAGCATAGAGATCATTTATTTAAGATACAAACATCCTTTTATGCTATCTAAAAATGTCAGTTAAAATTGCATTCATGTTTACTGGAGAAATACTAGTAGAAATGTTCCAGTATGGGAGGTCTGAGATAAGGAAGTAAGTTGCTTATAAAATTCTACATTTGTAAATGAGCAATAATTAGGTATGATTATCAGTATGATTTTAATTATACTACATGTTAAGCATTCTCTGAAAAGTAAATTAGCTTATGCACAAAATAATTTTCCTCCCTTTTTCCATAAAAACACACTCACCTTGTCCTGAAGTTTGTAGGATGAGGGTGACCGTCATATAAGGATAAGTAGTCATATTCTTCTTCTAGTGCAAAGGACTGAAACACAATTTGTATTCTATTTCCTTCTTCTGCTATTATTACCCATGTACAGTTTGCACCATTCGGATATCCATATGGAAAACCAGGACTTTCTATAGTGCCATTAAGTCCTTTTAAAGTTCCACCACACGTATAAATAAACCCTGCAATAAAAACATAAAAATGGATATCAATGTTACATAAAATAAAAAATTCAGAAAATTAATTATTTCAAAAAATCTTATTTTTCCAATGTAGATCTTAATAATAATTTTGTAAATGACATTTTAAGAGCTAAATAAATTATGCATATATTTATATTATATATATTTATAGTGGACATAAATACATATGTAAATATAAATAAGAAAATGCTTGAATTATCATGTTCCATATTGAGATTAATAATAATAAACCAATCAATGAGATTATCCCAGAGATATGCTTCCATGAACACAATTCCAGTACATCTTTGTCTTCTTTAAGGGTTTCCATTCTAATTGTGGAAATGAGTAAATAGTATGGAAAATTTAATGACTATAATTTGGAATATTAAATCCTAATTTTACTTATTGTCTGAAAAAGATGAAAATTTCTTGGCATATCCCTATTTCTACCATGTGTCACATGTTATAGAAGATCTATTCAACCCTGATTATAAGGGAAAGAGATTTTTAAAAATTATTTCCCCCTATTCCCCTGTCCTCCGTTCTACCCTTCTTCCCCTCCCTATTTACAAAACCTTCGTTTCCAATTCTTACTTCTTTTCCATCATATTTTTCCTTTCCTTCCTTCTTTCTCCTCCCCCATACCTTGTTCCATTCCTCATTTTGATGTTTTCTTCCTATTTCACAATATCTATTGTACATTTTGGTCCTTATTTATGCTTACGGTTTTACACCAGAGAAATGAGATATTCACACGTGTGTAGGGTTGTATTTTATTTAGTAGAATGGCTTCAAAGTGCATCCTTTTCTGAGCAATGGGTTAAGCTTATCGTTTTTTACGGAAGAGTAATACTTCATCTAAAAAAACACACGTTTATCTAATCATCAGCTGGTGGACATTAGGACTTTTTTCAAGATTTAACTATGACAAGTTTGTGCCATTATAACCATCTGGGCATATATTGCTGTGGTATGATGTTTATTAATTGTTTCAGGAAGATACCACGAAGAACGGGGTCAATTGGAACATCTAGTTCTAGGTTTTTTTTTTTTTTTTTTTTTTTAATTTTATTTAAGGAGAAAAAAGAAAAAAAATAGAAAGACGGTATAAGTTATACAGAATTTCAGAAAAAATAAACAGTAGGAAATCACTAGTTAATTACATATTGTCATCTTAGAAATATTTGTTGAAGTTACAAAATTAAAGCATATAGAGGGGACTTTCAAACAGTGAGACTGCAAACAGTTTTGTTCAGTGATCCAACAAAACTCAATAATACGATTATCTATCTTATACACTTAAATATATATGCAGTCATATCATTTGGAGAACTTTTTTTCCTTACTTTTGTACAATGACAATTACATATTTTGGATTTTATTGCTACCACAGTTCTTATTACTTTTTTTTTTTTTTGAGAAATTAAAACCAAATGTGACATACCAGGACAGTCAGTCAAATTAAAAGGATGGACATAATACATAATGTAAAAACAAAATACAAGGTGATCAATAATGGTTACCGTAATGCCTCGTTATCTTAAAAAGAATTGCCTATATCATCAGTTATAATAAAATTGAACCAAACAGTAAAGAATAAGACCAATAAAACCAAAACATTGGAGATATTAGAGGACTTCAAAAGAAGATAATAGTCAACCAGAATGGGCATCACAATGAATCTTATTGTCTTCATAGTTGTTGCCTATACTGTCAAACTTGGTACTATCAAGCATAACAGAACAGAGGAAAATCAGTCAAAACAAGACGGTGAGAGCAATACAGAGTTTCAAATCAAGTTAATAGGAAATCAAAGTGGGTTACTATAATATATCCTGCTATTTTTTATTTTTCCCTTAATTAAAAGGATAAAAATGAAAAAGTAGATAATAAAAAGGAGATTGAGATAAAAAAAGAGGGCATAACAACAAAACAGTGCAGGTCAAAGCATAGACATTTAAGCAAAATAGTGTTTTACCACAAGATAATCTTGACATAATAGTAGTTACCATAGTGTCTCTTCCCTTAAAATCTTTGGGTATAACTTCGTATACTGTAGCATCAAACATATCAAGACAATGTAAAACCATTCAAGAGAATGACAGCATTATAGGGTATTTAGAATCAACTAACAGAAAATGAACAATGGTTTCTGTATAATCTCCTTGTCTATAAAAGTTTTTGTTTATATTATCACATATAATAAAATTCAATAAGATACAACACGTTAAAACCAATGGAGACAGAAGAACAAAAGCTTGATGGGACTTCAAAACAAGAGGATATTTAATCAGCACTACCTATTATGATGTCTTGTTTTCTCCAAAATGGCTGTTCCTACCATCCAACCTTCTCTGCCTCATTTCTGTTGAGATCTTTTTCTGTCATTAGTTGTCAGTTTGTCCTCTTCATTTCGCTTTCTGCTCCATTCATTGTGGCCTCTCTGCCACTGTTTCTGGAATCTTGGTATTTTTGATTTTTAGAATATCCTGAAGTAATCTCTGAAGAGTTGAATTGGTGGTTGCAAATTCCCCTAGTTCCTCTTTATCCTGGAAGCACCTTGTTTTTCTATCAATCTCTAGGGACAGTTGTGCAGGATATGTCAATCTTGGCTGGAGGTTATTATATTTCAAAGCTTGAATTATTTCCCCCCATGCTCTTCATGATTTGATGGTTTGTGCCGAGAAGTCTGCTGTAATTCTGATGGGTGTTCCTTTGTAAGTGATCTGTTTCTTGTCTCTGATGGCTTTTAATATTCTGTTCTTATATTGGATTTCTGGAATTTTGATTATTATATGGCTGGGTGTAGCTCTGTTTGGGTTGTAGGTGGCTAGGGTTCTGTATGCCTCATACATCTGAGTATCTTTACCTTTTGCTAAATTAGGGACATTCTCCTGGATTATTTCTGTGAATAGCTTTTGTAGTTCATTTGTTTGAGTCCCTACTTCTTCTTTTATGTTCTTAATTCTTAAGTTATAGATCCTCTTATCATCTTCTTTGTATTATTGCTGTTTGTTTTCTTGTTATTTTTAAGAAGGTTTTGATTTCATGCTCCCACCTTACAAATATGTCCTCCAGTTTTGATAATCCATCCTTAGTTTCTTTCAAGCTGTTATGCCAGCTTTCAAAAGAGTTTTTAGTTTCCTGGTAATCTCTTTGAACCTGCTTCGCGTATTCTATGTTTTCTCTATTTTCTCCATCAAACAATTCTCCCCTTTTTTTCTGTTCTTCCATTCCACCATCTGTTTTTTCTTGGGCAGTGCTTAGCATTTCTCTAACCATTCTACTTATTTCTTGCTTTGTGTCATTACATACTTCAATTTTGAACTCGTCTATGAGGCTCTGGAGATACCGCTTTATGTCTATAGGTGCAATGTCTGATATTGCATGTTTTCTGTCTTCATTCTCTTTTGCATTTTCCTTTCCTGGATCAGTGTTCTCAGAATTGGGGACTGAGGACCCTTTCATGCTGCTCCCTTTTCCTATACTTTTTGTTCCGTCCATACAAGTGTCTATAGGAGGCCCAGTACATGGAGGACAAATAACAGCAGACACAGAGGCTCTCTGAGATTACCAGTTTAGAATCCAGGAGCAGCAGTGATGTGTGAGGAGTCCTACGCTAGGGGAGATGTACCCTGCCAACGCAGGAACGAACTAAGCTGAGAGAAACCAACTGGAAATACAATCCTGATGCTATAAAAGGAACAGATAAAATCTCAGTGCGGAAGCTGGATCCCGCGCCATTGGAAGCTGCGATTTGAATTTCCTGCTGCCAATACTGTGTCACAGTCCACACGGCAGGGAGAGAGACCTGTGAAAGCTCTGAGAGCTGAAATCGACGAACCAAACAGCAATGAGAGCGGGACTGGCACAGAGCCCTGCATCAACCTGCGGTGAGTGAGAGAAATGGAGACCCTTTCATAGATTAGGAGCCTCCAACAGAGGACATTCTGGGAATGAGCAGACTAGCCGGAACAGGGCCCTGCAGTGACTTTAGTCGCATATTCCCCTCTCAAGCAGGAGTGGTGGGGAGCGCTTGGCCTGGTGATGCCGCGGACTAAGATCCAGTAGGCTAGCCCAAATCAGGCCCCTGCGCCTGGCGGTGCACCCTAGCAGTGAAGCATTCAGTAGGTTGATCTGGAGGGACGGGCCCAGCAGAGGCTGCCCAGGTCTGTGTCTCCCTAGTACACTGCAGTGGGCGGGAACACCTAGCCAGCAGATTCAAACAAACTGTAACAGACAAATAGTTCTAGTTTTTAAAGTACAACTTCATACTTATTTCTACAGTGGTTGCACCAGTCTACACTCCCACCAATGGTAGAGAAGGGTTTCTTTTTCCCCACAGCTCATCCAAGATTTGTTATTGGTTGACTTCTTGATAATGCCTGTTAGAAAGAAGATTTTTAAAGGCTTTGTAATTGTTCAGAGTATGTAGTACAGTTTGGATATGATCCTAAATTAATCACATCACTGTTAAAGTGGGGAAAATATATTGAATAGCATTTCTGGGAAACTGATGGAAAAGAGCTCAAGTTATGCACCGATTCTGTAGGAGGACTAAGTCTTTGAAAGCATTTTTCCTAGAGATTCTTAGAAAGCTTACTATATTTCTTGAGGAATTAATTTATTTGAATACATACTTATTTGAATATATATATATTGTCCTTTAGTCTATTGTGTAAAGTGAGATTCTTAGAGGAATACAACGGTCAGATGAGAGGCCCGTGGTTTAACTAAATAGACAACATATAGCTTAGATCTAGAAGCAGGTAGTGAGAATCAGAAGCATTCAAAGAACTCCTCATGTAGACATTTTCCACAACTGCAGGTCTTACCTGAAGTTTAATTGCCAAAAGTCTGGAAATTAGAGACCCATGGAAAATTTGAAGAAGAGAACTCCACAGAGGACATAACCTCTGTGCTTGGGGCAGGTTGTAGAAATAAATGAAATTTAGGGCTAATTTTGCTTGAGGAAAGAGTGAGAACAGTTTATATAG